CCCCCAAATCCAGGGGGCCCCTCTGATCAGGCATACCGTAGTACCGTACGCAGCAGCAGGCAGATCACCTCGTATGTTTTTTTAGATGACGATCGCCTCGTACGTACGTTGTCCTATCTCTCTCGCTGAGATACTGGGCCTGGCCCAATGCTGCCGACGCCCTAGGTAGCGCACAACGCCCTCGTGTCAATTTTTTTCCTTCGTGGATGGCCATCGCCCGCCGCCGACGCCAAACTTCAGAACCCAATCGCGGCAAGGATCTCGCGGCCGATGCTACGACGGCGGCCAGGGAGGAGGAGCACATAGCTAGGCTCGTCTTCAGGCCCTGGTAAGGATCGCTTCCCTCTTTTTTGATTGAATCTTGTGGGATTGTATGGATTTTGGTATTTCTCCCCTTGCTCTCGATGGAAAGGAATAGTCATCATCAGCAGGATTTAAGTTTGGCATTCAAAAATTAGGATCGTGATGTTACTGTTCGATTTAGAGAAATTATAAGTAGGGGTTGATGTCTACTGAAGCAGGATTAACACTAAGTTACATCTAATTCTGTACAAGACTTGTCTGTTCAATTAACTTGCTGATTAATTTTATGGTTTCGTAGTGATTCTGCAAAATCACTTTTCTCAAAAGCATTCAGACGGTTCCTTCCTTTTAGAAAGTTTCAACATATATCTCCAGGATCAAATTTGATAGAAAATAATGCCTTTTAGATCTGGAGATGACATCTAGTAATATACTGAATGTTTTGTTCGACGGTTTTCTCATATAGTTTATGATATTCAGCTCATTTTCCTTGTCATCTCTAGAGCTTAGAAGATGGTTCTAATGCTTCAAGAACAATTTCTTTTATCAAAAATGACATGTATAAGGAAGCACTAGATGTGCGAATGATGGCTGAGGTATGCTGCCTTATGTGATAGTTATTGTCAGTAAGAAGCATGAACATCTTTTAAATAGATATATACTCCATGGGAGCTTAAATAGTTTGGTACTTTAAAAATATTGAATGAGATTTATATTGATACCATACTAAACATAATTGCATCCAGGAATGCTAGAGGAAAATTTGAAGGTAAAATAGGAATTATTTGATTTGGGATGCACTTTCCTATATTGTTTATTGATAATATTTCACATATACATATATTAAGTATTATTTTAATGTTTATATTGAGGGGCCCCTGATTCTAGTCTCGCCCCGGGCCCCAGAAGTCTCAGGACCGGCCCTGCCCCCGCGGCCGTCTGGTGCAGTGGGATAGGTAAGGGAACTGTGACAGGGCCGAGACCGGGAGGAAGAAGATGGAGGTGGCGACGGCCGAAATCATGCGTGACACGCGAGATGCAAAGGCAGGTGCGGTTGTGCGTACTAAAGGGTGTGTTTGGTTGCCCACAAAAACTCAACCATACCCGTTGTATGTAGCATCTGTTTGGTGTTAGGCTTTTTGGTTACATGAAAACATCATTATGCCTGCATAGCACGGTTTTAAAAGCACCTTTGGGCCTATATAGCTGGAAACGCTCAAGTCGTTCGTTTCCAAGGAGCCAAGCCCTCAAGCCCACGTGGGTGGCTCTGGCGAGACATGTATGTACCTGGTTTGCAAGTATTTTCTTCTAAGCACCTTTTTAATCTCTTTCATCCCTTCTACACAACCATGCTACGATTCGTCATAAGTTGTACACAAAAAATATGCATCTTGATGTTCTGATTCCATTCAGGCGATCGGGTCGTAGTTTCGTTCACTCTATATGTTAAATTTCGTGTTCATATTTGAAGCTTTTTTGGACGAATTTGTCACGGTCAACCGTTTGAAGTTTTCTTTTAGGAGTAGTTTCACCTTGCTGTTTGAGACGACTTTGGTGTTGTGTGTTTTCTGTTTCACTAATCGTAGACAAGCAGCCCTCGCTCCTCCAAACGCCGACGCGTCTGCTCGTGCCGCAGCCGGTGAGCTTCTTGGCAACCGTGGCGAGGCACGCCAGGCAGTCTCTCGGCATGGCGTCGACTAGGAACGCAGGCGAACGCCTCGCCGCTGTCGGACTGTAGGGACGTGAACCCCATTGGTGCGGCGGCTCCGGGCAGCATGGCCAGGAGGGCAAAGAAGAGGAGGGTGGCAAGGATGGCTATGGTGGTAGCACGCAGGGGCGCCATGGACGTGTGACAGCCCCTCGCGTTGGCAGTGACAGTGGCAGTGAGCCGATGGAGGAGGAGCCACCAGAGAACATTCTACTTTAACCTCTCTGTTCAGTGTAGTTGTTAACTGCTAATCACGAGGCATGTATGCAACCAAACACTGGGTAGAAAATGCTTCCATGGTGCAGGCAATCTATACGCAGGTAACCAGTCAACATGCAAACATCATATTTTGGACTGTATCTCCTCAACCAGGCTCTACCCAACCTGACCCGTTTTTTCATGCAACCTCCAAAAAACGATGCAACCTGGTCCGTTTTTTCATGCAACCTCCAAATAAGGATGCAGGTAACCAAACACACCCAAAGTTTCCTGCTGCGGCTGGTCGCGCTCGGGGTCATTTTCTGTGTTTAGGCACGGCCGCACATGATATAAATTTGCAACTAGGGTGTTATTTTGGTCCGACCTAAAATGGGACCATGAAAATATACATTTGCATCACCTGTTTGAGCTTGGTTATTTGGCCACGGTAATGCATAAAACTGTTTTTACATCAAATTGCTCTACTCTTTCTGTTTACTTTTATAAGACCTTGAAGACATTTCAAATAATGTGTAAAACAGCCTATTTTGAATTGTCTGAAACGACTTACAAAAATAAACGGGGGGAGTATTTTGCATCACCTGCTGAAGATGCCCTAAGCGATCAATAAAGCAAGAAGAGATACTAAAAAATATGGAGCTCCTGGGTGCACGTACGCTTATGCTCAGGAGTACATAACTAGCACTAAACTATTGATATGCACGATGCCTCATCCTGCGGTGGGTAGCCGTTCAGTGCCATGCATGGACGGCTTGGTAGGCTTATCGTCCGCAGAGCGTCGTCTCCATAGCAGTGCTCTGAAAAAAAATCATATACAGACAGTACGTACCTTCCTTAGATTGGACACTGGTTTCACATTGGTTTGCTCAGCACAGCACTGAAGTACTCCCTCGACAAATCTAAGACAAGAATTTTGGGACGGAGGAAATACACGGAAACTGCAATAACCATTATCTTATTGTGCGGCACAAGAACTGAAAAACATGTTCCATTCAACGACCGCCTTTTTATTCATTTGTACCTCCTTGTATACAGAATTACATGTTCTATCCCTCGGTTGCAACCACTGTTTCCACCATGGGATTTTACATCTACAAATTGGCTGATAATCTGGCTTTCTATACATTCGACATCTCAGCAAACAGAGATCAATTAGCTTACAGTAAACAGAAAAATACAGTAACACAATGACCGCCAATTTGTGCTTGTTTCTCCTTCTCATTCCAGAATATGCAGCCACGGAAACCATCCCATTTTGCTAGTTTCCTTCTACCCTTTCATGGTGGAGACCTCCTAATGTCTAGAATGTTTGGACTCAGAGGGGAAACTCTTTCTGAAGGACATCAAGGTTGCGGGAATCACATGCAGCAATCATATCACTGCGTGAAGCATTACTGGTTGGAAAGGGGAAAAGGTATTAGTAAGGTAAAATCATCATAAAAAAAATTCATGTTCACATGTAGATAAAAGGAAGCAAATCGGACATACCCAAGTGAAATTCTCAAGTACTGCCAGGCATTGTCTGCTTTTGGATTCATGGAAACCGCCCTTACATAGTACCGAATGGAATCCTCGTACAGACCCTGCATAGAGAGCAGCTTAGAAAACAACCATGCAACAGGGGTTATATGTGAAAAACTGTTATCTATTATCACAATGAATTCCTGTGCTGAGTTGTCACACCATTGGATAAAGATAGATTTCAGTGTTCATCGTTAGTAAAAAAAATCAAAACGGAGGCAAAAGATTTGCCCCATCCATTAAATAAGCAGAAGAGAGTTGCCCAGTTAATTAATGGAAAACCAGGCTAAAATCATCACAAACCGCCGAGCGGCACACATGCTACCCCACACACGCCTCAACAAAGAAGGCCTCATCAAGATACACTCTGGCATCCTCGTCATCACTTCTCCCCAACAGGCGTCATTGCCCTTCCTAATCTCCGAGCAAGCGACCCCGACTTCGCCGAAGATGAACATCAACCGAACCCTCACCATAGAGGCCATGTGGAACACAAAAAGACCTATGTCAAACTCAGCCACCTGCATCAAGGGCAGGACAGCTCCGACTCTGATGGAAAGCTCCGAAGGAGAACAATGCAAGGTTGGCACCCTGAAAGACCACCGAACCGAACAGACCATCTGCTGCCTGCCATCGTCGCCACACGGCCCCGCCACCGCAGCTCCGACTTCACCGCAATAAGGCAACCCGAGGTAATCCCACGAACACGGCGGAGAAGAGCCGACTACCTCAACCATTGCCATGCCTCTGACTTCGTACGCCTCCGCTATCGTTGCCACAGAAGCCTCGACGCCGACACCGACACCTTCCACTGGTCCCACTTGCCGATGCTCGGCTCCAAAGACGAAGCCCTCGAAAGGGGAAAGGACGCCAAGGCGTCGACAACGTCCGATCACACAGGATCTAGGGTTTTCCCTGAAGCCGGATCCATGCGGTAGGGGTGTGGCAGCACAGCAGCGGTGCCTTCAAGAAGGTCTACGACGTCCGCAGCCGCCGCCATCACCGGTCACATGCCCAAGGCCAAGACAGGGTCTTCACCGAAGCTCCCAACACACCCAACCCGCATCCGCGTCGGCAAGTCCACCAAGCACCACCACCACCACCAACGAACCCACCCGCCAACGTCGCCATCGCCGCCGCAGCACCTCGCAGAGACCACCAACGGCCAATCACCAGCGCCAGCTGCCAGATCCATTGACGACCGAGAGCAGAGCCACCAGACGCAGCACAACCACCACATCCTGTCGAGCACCATGCCGACAAGGAACGGAGGTGCGCCGCCCGAGGCCGCGAACCACCATGGTTCCCGGTTGTGGCTCTACATCAGGGTCCGTCAAAGACCGGATCCGCCATCCCCGCACGACAAGGACGGTAAATGACGCTTAATCACATTATTCATTAGGCGACATTCATTGTACAAAAAGTGCCCAGAATTTTTATAGTATTGAGAGCATGATAACAAGACAACCATTTCAATACTAAAAGTGAAAGAACATAAACTCACTTATGTAATGATGACAAGCATGTTAGTGGGCCAGTGGAGTTATGTTATAACTCAATATAAGGTTTCTTATCTCGCATCACAGGGTATTTGCGAAAAATGCAATTATACAGTCAACAACATGATCGAGTGATCATTGTGCTACACAAGAATTACCTGGTTGGCATAGCTAATTCCCATATTAGCCCACGCACGGACGTAGTTGGGCTTCAAATCTAGAGCCTGAAATAACAAGCAACATTTGGGGTTACTTCCAAGCACTTTTTAGCATACCACAATCAACATCCAAAGTAATAAGCCAACGACCTGGGGTACTCTTTAGTATACCCGCATTTTCTGAAATGCACACTAAGATGGTTTTCATCAGTCATCCACTTTATAGTTTATACTAAAAAAAATAAGTGAAGGATGCAAATAAACATGTATTTGTAGGATTGGACACCAAATCAATGGGATTACACTGCATCACAAATAATTTGATTATATCTCATCTGATATACTGTGATGCAAGAAGCACTTGGGATGTACATGCAGCAGCAAACACAATCTTGGTGTCAATCACACAGAAACTTATCCACATTCCACAGAGAGGGATTTAGCTGCCCCAATCCCAATGTTTGTGATATGCGACATTACTTTCCATACGCCAATCAGTCCACTAGTTGATCATTTCAGTTTTTTTTAGCTCCAACATGTATAGAAACGCTTTATTTTTAACCTATTTTTGTCAGACAATAAGTGTATTTATACTGCTAGCTTTTGCAGTTTGCACTGGAAATACAACTGCCAGAGCATTCCTTAAAAAGGAATAGCCAGAGTCTGTGATAAAGACAAAGTGCTATACTTCTTGAACCAAGCATATAAATACACTTAAAAACAGAACGAAGCTTTCACCAAAGTTGAAGTCCAAACACGTTCAAAAAATAATTACCTGCTGGTATGCCAGTACGGCATCAGCGCTCTGGATGCTGTTTGCTTGGGTCGCACCGAGCTTGTTCCAGAGAGAATAGTCTTGTGGTTTCAGCTGTAGTGCCGTCTTAAATGAAGCTATAGCTTTATCATATTCTCTTGATAAGTTGTACAAGACACCCAGAACTATGTGGACATCAGCATCCTCAGGCGACATCTGAGCAGCTTCATTAAACAATCTAACAACCTGGTGAGAGGTAGGTTGTTTAGTATCCTAAACTAATTACTTTTAGTAAGATCAGAGAACAGATTGTACAGACACATGATTACAGTTAATAATATCTCACAGAAAGGTACAATAAACTGAGACAGTTATACAGAATACCATTTGGAAGCTGGAGATGGAAAGGTTTAACAAGTTAAAATTGTTCGTTTGATACACCATCATTATGAATTACATATCCCTCACTTACATCTGGACCATATGGTGAATCAGTTTGGTGGGGAGCGGCGAGAGCTCCATACTTTGGATGATTCTGAAGCCATCTCGAAAGATATCTTAATGCTTCTCCCTGTTCCAACTCTGCAGTAATCATATCAGATAAATAGATCCTCTCATGAGTCATGATGGTATACACAAATATTGAAGTATAAAAACCGAAAGTCGGCCTATTTCGACAAATTTCCTACTTTAACAGAATTTCAAAATATATTAGAACATGTTATGAGCACAACTATTGCAGCATTATTAGTTTATTACACACTGGGGAGGAGGAGGCTTGGAGCATTGGGAAGTTTTTCCAACTGTAAATGAAAATTGAAAAACCTGGAGGATGGCTTAGTTTTTACAATTGAAACTAGCTTGCACAATGCAGATACCTGTTAACTTCCAATCCAACCTTCTACCACTTCATTTCTTATAAGAGCAACTCCAGCAGATTAAGCAGGTCACTGAAATGCTCGCATAAATAACACTCACCGTTTGTGTGACTGACACCAAGAGCAAGAAGAACTTCCAAGTTGGTAGGATTGGCCTCCTGGGCACGCAGCATTGCAGCTATGGCCTGAAAGCAAGGAAATAAATTAATAACAGCAGACTCTTTTAGCAAAGAAGCATGGAGCCCATCCCATAGATCCCAAGATTCTTAGAACTAACACTTTTTATTTATTTTGTATATATGAATATCTAATTCTTGTGAGGTAAACTACATTAGAGTACATGTTTGGCATATGTTGAACGGATTATTGTCACTATGGTAGTCCAGTATGGATGTATTGGATGCATCATGTTTGTTCATGACCGAGTTTAGATCATTTTCAAGGAATATTGTTTTATCTAGTCTGAAAGGCCAAAGCAATATGCTAATTCTCGTGACTAATGATGTGAACCATTCTGGAAGGAGTATTATAATACTTGGTATAGGGATGAAAACGGAGCGGAATCTTTGTGTCTGGTCCACAGAAAAAAGGAAACGGTAAAAAAATGTGAAAATGGAAATCTTGCACAACGGAATTTCTTAGGCAGAAAGGGAAACAAAAACGGTACAACATTTATCGGCGGAACAGCCACGAAAACGAAATATCTGTTTCCATAAATACGGAAATTTCCGTTATTACCATGGCTGTGTGTGGCCCAATAATCCAGCAGGCAACAGTGAACAGCACACATGCAATGTGTGGGCCAACCGGAATGCAAATACAACCTTAACCTAATCCCCTGTCCCTAATTGACAAAGGACAGAGCAGGCGAACACGCCGCCGTGGCGCCATCCAATCATCCCGAGCCCACACGCTGCCACCCATCCATCTTTGCTGCGGTGCCATGGCAACCAGAGCGCCTCCACCACCATCATCTGTCGCGGGGCCACTGCCCTCCTCGGTTGACGTCGATGCCCTATGCCAATAGGGGTGGAAACGGATCGGATAGTACCCTTCCCACTTCGTTTTCATATTTCAAAAACAAATATGAATGTTGAATATGAGTACGGTGCGGATGTTACTCGAATATGGATATGGATAGGGTGTTTTCTCAATTCAGAACCGATACAAATATCTTATAATTTAGTGACATATATTAAGAAATAAGTCAACAATTATATGACCTAAGATAATCAACTCGCACCATACAATAAATCAATGAGAGACCAGTAGACGGAGAAACACTGTTGAAGTATATGGGGAATGCCCAACCTTCTCCATCAGTTCGACTTTTGGAGAAACTGGTTGGTGCATGAAGCATGGTATGCTATCAGAGACAGAGGTCTCGAGTTCGAGTCCTGGCTAGTGCGATTGTTTTCTACAATTGCTGCTCGCTCCCTTCCACGTTTGAGGCACGCAGCAAGACTGATAAAGACTGCTCACGAGTGGGGGTGTTGGTATATGTGGAATGCCCAACCTTCTCCATCAGTTTGGATTTTTGGAGCAACTGGTTGGTGCGTGAAACCTAATACATACTACTATAATGCATAATAGTTTCTAAGTTGGATCATACAAAAAGTAAGTAAGATTCGACGACTTTTTAGGCTTTTAGAGTATCTCCAATAGGTGCCCTATAATAAGGCGAGCAAAGTTTGCAACACCTAAAAGTGTTTTTTACAACACCAAAAACCTCCTTCCCAGTGCTTTTTTACAACACCAAAATTGTGTGGTCCCGAGTGGTCCCCCTGGTGTTGCAAAATTTGCAACACTTGGTGTAAAACTTTTTGCACATATATGGCACCTATTGGATCAGCGTTTTTGGCCCCTCGTGATGTAAAAAGTGATCCTGCACTATTTTAGGGCACCTATTGGAGATGCTCTTATGTTGGATACTCCCTCCGTTTCTTTTTACTCTGCATATAAAATTCGTTTGAAGTCAAACTACGTAAAGTTTGACCAAATTTATCTTAAAAATATCAAGTTATCAACATTTACAATACAAAAGTTCTATAGTATGAAAATTAATTTCATGATGCATCTAATGATATTGATTTCATATTGTGAATATTGATATTTTTTCTTATATAGTTGGTCAAACTTTACAAAGTTTGAATTTAGACAAATTTTATATGCAGACTAAAAAGAAACGGAGGGAGTACTTAGCATATAGGGCTAGAATTGCTTAAATTGGCTAACATGTTTTTTTTTGGATACGGATATATCCAGTTCCATATCCACATTTGTTTCAAAATCCCATACAACATTTGTATTTGTAAAAAGAATCCAGATATTTTCCACATCCATTTTCATTTTAGTTTGGATGCCAATGTTGACTTGCAATATAGGGTTTTCTCGAATATGGATATCGGATATTTCAAAATTTTCACCACCACTTTCCACCCTTCTACGCCGGTAAACATCTCTGACGCCTACGCGCCACGCCTGGATAGTTCAAGGGTTCTTTTTGCTCCAGCGAATGTGCCGTATTCCCTCCATACCTCCTGCCCAGGGTATCTGTATTTGTTTCTGCTCCCACTAAAAAAAATATGAAAACAAATGTGACATCCCTCAATTCCGGCTGTTTCCGCTCCATTTTTCATCCCTAACTCGCCATATGAACATCAGAACATCACAGCATCTAAAATTAACGAGAGAGGCACAATTACCTGCTGGTCATCATCATTTTCAGCATGTGTTACTCCAAGCAACCTCCAACCTTCAGCATTATCAGGGTTCTTTAAAACTTCAGCCTCCAGAGCAAGAGCAGCTTCACTTAAGAGGCCCTTCCGAAAGAGCTCCTGCCCTTCCTGCATTGGATTAGGGTGACCAACATATGGGTTCATCTCGGAAAAAACATAAACCCCTCGAGAAGCGCCAGAACTTTTGGAAGCTGACAGTTGGTTTTGAAACCTACAAACAATGTACAATAGTAGTTAATGGTAAGCTGCAATTGCTATGCGTAAGGGGCTTCTGTAAAACAGAACATAACCAACCAATGGTAAAAACAAATGACTTCTCAATGAATATTAACCAAGCTCTAGGTTCTTTTAGTAATCTGACACAGAAATTGGTCAGATAACATATCAAGAAAGAAGCAACAGAGGTTGGCTCAACCTTAATACTATTAGCAAAAAGACACAGAAACAAGAGACTTGTACTTACTCATCTGCCCATGGATCAGCAGAGCTCTCACCAAAAGCTCCTCCACTGAACTCCTCTGCCCAATCATCCATATTCAATTTGGAGAACTCATCGACCCACTTCTCTTTGAGCCCACTCTGATTCTGTTCACTAGAGAACTCACTAACCCAATTATCGGCCCCTTGTGAAAGCTGTAGAGCAAGTATTAGTGAGGCAAAATTATCAGTGCCCAGCAGATGTAAGTGTAAAAGAAGGGACATCAATGTACTATTCCTAAATAGCTACAACCCACTACCTATTTTTCCTACACATGCAAGCATGCCACATGAGCAAGTCCAGCCATGCAAGTCATAAATTACATGTTTTTCGCATTACTCTATGCATGCAGGGCTGCCACATCATCAATTTGTGCATGTTAGTTATAAGTTATTTTTCATTGGATTTTATATTGACAGTATATGTTTTGGGCGATTGCAGCATACCGACGTATTTCATCCTTCACATTTTTTGTTAGAAATGATATTCTGTTAACTGGAATTCATTTTTTATTCTCTTTTTATATGCTTCATGTTTTTCACCTTTTTAAGCTTACATTTGCTTTCCATTAGTTTTATATGTTTTTTAAGCAACTATTTATGCATAATCTAACAAGATTCCTGTAGCAACGCTTGGGGCATCATCTAGTGTTGCTAAATGATGATACCATTATTACACCACTGTTCCATTTTTTACATTGCCTGGAAAAACTAGAACCCCGTTTGACCACGGAATGCATTAATTTACACACATCCAGCTCTCAGGTGAAAACTAAACCCCGTTTAGCACACCATACAATCATTTAAATGCATCCAGCTCTCTGGTATTACCTCTTCATGCACAAACTGATCTGCCCAAGAATTTGCATTAGCATTATGCTGTGTTTGAAATTCATCAGCCCAGCCATTGGATTGGGATGCTGAACCTTGTTTTACTTGGTTATCTTCTATAATAAGTTCACCACGGCTCATCTTTGAAACAAACTGGAAGAATTTAGAATTCTTCCAAAAAGGAAAAAGAAAGTGTCATCAGGTGCTTAAGACAGGACGATCATAATGATGATCCTATATATAGTACTCCCTCCGTAAAGAAATAAAAGAGCGTTTAGATCATTTAGTGATCTAAACGCTCTTATATTCCTTTACGGAGTATAATATAAGGTTGCAAGCAATACAGTTGATTAACTTAATGTAAATAAACAATATTATTACTGGTGAAAGATACAGGCTTAAGAAAGAGTCCTCATGATCCAACATCCACAAAATTAGTGTTTGAACCATGAAGTGTAATAGGCGGTATCCGTAGAATATCTGGCAGAACATATATAATAAATAAATAGGATTTCATATCACCCCAACTGCCACTGAAAAATAGTGTTTTTGACATAAACAGAAACATTGGACACGTGTGTGGTATAACACGATATATCAATAGTGTGTCGTACGCCAATAAGAAGAAACAATACAGCACTCATCCACAATATGTAGTTCATTTCTGCATATCCAATAGAGGTTCTTCTCTATCAGTTTGGAAAGCAAGATCCTATTTAGGAGGTTTGATCTGACTTTTGGAGGATTCATTGAGATACTTTAGGCCTGTTAGACCTAATCTAGAACATTAAGGTTTAGCCTAACATATCAAGATGCAAATGCAATCACATCAATCACAGAGATAACATGAGTAGGATATTTCCTTATGAAGAAAAGTAAATTATGATGAATTGTTGTTCAAGCAAATTTTCACTGTAGTGGGTAAAAACAATGTGCAAGCAAAATAGAGTTACATGTACAACCAGGCCATCATAAATACCTGGAACTTTGGGTCATTGTTACTTGATAATGTTTCTGCAAGCATACGGGATTGCTGCATAGCTGCGAGATTCGCCATGTTCGCTCCTCCCATCTGACCCATGGCCATCTGAGACTGATGCTGAGACAACATAAAGTACATAGCATAATTTAAGCCATGTATCCCACAAATGAACATGCTCGTGCAGAAGGAAACTAAATTATGACGAGTATGCAGATTTCCATACAAATTACAAGGCTTTATTTTTTTTTACTTTATAAGCCAACTAAAACTAGTTAATATTTAAGAGAGATATTGAAAGGATGTGATCCTTTATCACCTCATGTTCTAGAATAACTACATTTAGTAAAAGTAAGAATTCTATGTTTACATAAGACTGTCTAAAATACACACACATACATATACAAAGAATATCTTAAGCTATATTTCTAAATACAGCATACAGTTACTCATAGATACCATAATATCTCGCTCAATGGATAGGGTAGGGAAACTATCAGATTACAACTGGGTAATGGCATACTAAACCAAACACACATATCCTTCTCAAACAAACTTTCTTATTGGATTGTGTTTCCTGTTGGATATTGGTATTACTCATGAAAATGGAAAACATAATTTTCTAATGTTTACGAGAAAATTCCAGTAGAAACAGAACAAACTCAAGAATACTGCAGCGCATGGTGCAGATACAAATAAAATCCAGAATTGCATTTGGATACACAGATAGCCAGATATCATCATTTATTGGGCAATCAGATTATCCAGATAAAACGGTACCAATTGCAACATAGTTATACTGGCCTAGAAGCTAAACAGTATCTTCAGCATGGCTGAACTTGGCTCTAGGATGTGTTGTCTGCTCATATGGTAAGTATAAACAATGAAAAAACATGCTTCGCAATTGATGGTTGTGAAAATGTCAAACAGGCTTTTAGAAGGCTCTGACCTGTTCAAACTCAGAGGCCCATCCATTGGGACCATATTGCTGCTCAAAAGAGTGCGCCCAACCCTCAGGGTTATTATTCTGCTTGCCAAACTCAGTGATCCAACCCTCAGGGTTATTGTTTTGCTTGCCGAACTCACTAATCCAATTATTTGCAGCATTGTGCATTGGGCCAGATCTCAAAGCACTTTGGGACTGATTCCAGTACTCCTCCATCTCTGGGTACGGCCCATGCAGGGGATTTTTCATTCGATGACTATTGTCAATATCAAGAGAATGCAGCAGTGTATTCACCTGATATACGGATAAAAGTGTTACATTCATGAATGTTCTTCTAGTAAACATTCATCAACGAAACATAAGCAGCACATGGAACTTAGAACGTCAAGCAAGTCAACAGGAAACTACTGAGCTAAGCTAATGGAAAAAGGACATAAATAAGTGTTGTGAGCAAAGTTGTATGGTCAATGGCAATTCCAGTCACAAATGTTAGAAAACTTAACCTGTGCTTGTATATATTCTTCAGGTTGATCGGCCAAAATATGGCGTGCCATTATGCAGCTGCGATCACGTATACATTGTTTGTCGGCTTCGGACAAACCAAGAGCTGGTACTGGGACAGGTTGAAATGGCACACCAGCTCGGCCACTTGAAAGAAAAGAATGCAGAACACCAGATAAGACCCTTTGTGGCGGACCTGGAACAGAAATTAGGAGTCATTGCAATGCGAGGTAAATAGACAAGCATTCACAGTACACAGAAATTCTAAGACACAGAAATCTACCATCCAAGGCCGGTCCGAAGGTAGGGCCTGCATTGTTATAAATTTGCTCAAACTCTGCAAAGTTTGTTTCTGGCCCTCCAAATGTAGAATGCCCCGGAGGGCGAAAAGATTCAACCCAATCATTAGCAGGACCCCCACGCATGAAGTCGGCACCCTGCAAGTGTTCAACAACAGTTAGGAGTGGCCAAACGGGACACAGAAAGACAGTTTTGGAGAATCACCATTACCCGTGCAAATGGTCGTTGATCTTGCTTTAACTCATTCTCAGAGCCAGGGACAGTAGACAGTGGAGCTGTGCTATAATCAGACGTAGTTGGAACATTAACTGAGGCTCCAGGAAGTCCCTTTAGTGACTGCACAAAAGAAAATGTTATAGCCAATATTTTCTTGGACTTCAGCTACAATTTTTCAATGCATTTCGATGTTAAGCATCCCATATTTCCAATTTAGTCCACACAAATCCTTATAAAGGAACATGGAAACTGGTAGGAGACAAAAAAAAATATGTCTTCACATATACCTCATGACTGATATGTTCAGAATAAGGCCAATCAGAGATTCTCAGATAAGTTAATTAACAGAGTAATTGAACTTAATTTGGTGAAATGAGTGTGCTAAAGGTTAGAATCCTAGCACGATAAGCTCTTTTAACCCTTTACTCTTTTTTTAGCAAGATAACAGCATATAAATAGAGAAGCCTGCCGATAATATAGCGAACTTGGTAGCTTACAATTTATAAAGCACTGACTCAAGTATCTCGCCCAGCACTTTAGAGCATGGTTCCAGAGTAAGGTAAAAGGGAACAGATACGGAACCTTGAACCAGTAATAGCTCTGGCCCGTCTAGTCACAGACTAAACCAATACATCAAACAATCAGAGACATGGGACAGCACAACCCACGAATCAACAATATATTCTTCAGCGCATCAAGACCGCACGGGATGCAGCACTAGCTTCGCGCAACAGAAGTAGCATATGAGCACAAAAAACCTAGAGGGCGCCGATTGATCCAGGCCACCGCAGATGCAGATGGCGAGCCCTTAAGCTCGAGAGTCTTGACAGACGGGGCGACGGACTTAGGGTTTACCTCCGCTTTGCTGGACTGGCCGAGGAGGGTGTTGGCGAGGGCGCCGAATGGGTTGGAGGAGGATGCCCCGTCCGGGGCGCAGTTGTTCTGGCCGGTGATGAGGTGGCGCGTCCCCATGTCCGCAGAAGGCCCTTGCCGGCGCCGGAAGGGGGCGCTGGCGCTGCTCCGATCGCCGGCGGCGAGAGGCGTTCAGCCCGAGGGGATGGGGAGGGAGGGGAGGGGGAGGAGTCGTGCTGCGGCGCGGTGGCTTGGCGGGCCTGGGGAGGAGTAAGCTGTTGTGGACCCGATAAGGCCAGGACACGTGAGAGATTTTTTTTCTGTGTAGAGTACGTATGGGTGGTTGGGAACTTTTTTTTTTCGTTCACACACGAGAAAAACAGGGAACTATTTTTTTTCCTTTAAAAAAATCCATTCTAAATTTCAGGTTGGTTGAAGACTTGAAAGTCTTTCCTATTTTAGTCCAAACAAATTTTCTTTCGCGTTCCAGTGTGAAAACAGGAAACTTTTTTTTCTCTTAAAATAATCAAATTTCAAGTTGGTTGAAGACTTTGAAGTCTTCCTATTTTATAGTCCAAAAGGGTCTTCCTATTTTTCTTTCGCATTGCGGTGTGAAAATGCTGGAATTCTCCAATTTTGCTCTTGCAAAATTGTGCACTTTTCAGCGAAGTGCTTAGAAATTTCTTTGTGCAAAATTCTTCTTCACCGCCTTCACCACGCGAGGTTGAACCATAGTTTAAAAAACCAAACTGGACCACCGGTCGGACCGAAAAAGACCGGAACCCAAAGCATCAGCGGTTTTATAAACTAATCAGACTGTTTTGCATATGAAAAAACAAAACAGGTCGAACCGGCCATTTTTTACTCAAACCGGAAGAAAAAACAAACCCTGTTAAGCAGGAAGCACACAATAGCATCACTGATAAGAGAGAAGAAATAATTGTGTCCACGGGGCTTCAATCCTCGATCGCAAGGAAGCTCACCAATGTGGCCCAGTACCAACCCGGCCATCCAACTTATAGCTATCAAATAATGGAAATTTAATGTATTTGACTTTTTTACATAATTTATGGCTTAAAAACCAGTAAATGAACCGGTGAATCGGCGGTCCGACTGGAAAAAAATCTGAACCAGCGGCGTCACCGGTTCGACCACCGATCCGGATTTTTAAACTATGGGTTGAACCATCAATGTTAGAGGTCCGCGCGAAACGGCTCGAACCGGACTGGCGAGAGGTTGTCGATGGAGCAACGGGCCATGGTGGAAAAGGATGACCTAGTTGTATAAGCCGATGGCGCCGGCACCGCCGTGAAGGAAGAGAACGGGATGGCAAGAGCAAATCAGGAAAAAAAAAGGGGAGGGAGGCCTAACCGCATACTACGTGGCAATGTGAAACGGGGAAAATGAATGGGGTAAATTGTGCCACAAGTTTGCTTAAATTAGGTAAAAAAATGTGGATTTTTTTGCTAAAATGGGTTACTTTATCACAAACATGAAACCAAAGGGTAAAAGATGGAATTCACTATTTCTACCGTGCTAAAATATATAGCTCGAACGGCGTTCGAACGCGAATCCATAAAATGGACATGTATTTATTCGTGGACCGGTCTGGGCTAGTGTCCGCACATGGATACGAAAGCCGGCCATCCAACCTATACCTCAAATATCCGTTTCTGTTAACTTAACTTACGAAAAATAAAATAGTTTAGCAACCTTCCGCCAAAATTAGTGCTAACACCATGTGATTCGTGGCTTCCGCCAAACATGCTCGCTGGCGGTAGCAACCTTCCGCCAAAGTTAGTGCTAATCACAGTATGATTAGTGGCTTCCGTCAAACATGCTCGCAGCCGGTAGCAACTTTCCGCCAAACGCCAAGCTAACCCTTTGATTGGTCAGATGAATGTCCAGACTTCCGCAAAAGCCTCTTTTGTTTGCTTCTAGTTTGAGGAATTTTGAACATCCGGACCGGTCCGTGGACAGATACGGGGCAGCGTTGGATGACAAAATGTATCTAGACAGCTCGATGTGGACGCTTGCGGACGATTCAAGGGTTCGATTTGGAGATACCCTAAAGCCTAACTCAAATTCACCATGAAACATGGCTTCTCAATATAGTACTTTTACTCATGGTTTAAAAAAACTGACCGGACCGCGGGTCGGATCAGAAAAGACCGAAACACAGGTCGGACCGAGAAAGACCGGAACAGAAGGCCTCCACGGTTTTATAAGCTAATCAAACTGTTATGCAAATGAACCGAACAAAACCGGTCGAATCGGTCGCTTTTTCTCTCAAAACGGAAGAGAAAACAAAACCAGTTGAGCAAGGAGCACGCAGTAGCATCGCTGGGAAAGAGCAAAAATATAATTGTGTCCGCTAGGTCACTCTGTGCATTTTGAAATCGAACCGAAAAACCATACCGAAAATAAACCGAACCAAACCAATTTTTACGGGTTTTATTGTTTCTTGGTTTGGTATGGTATGAACTTTTCATACCATTTTGAATTTTGGTTTTTATGATATATACTGAAAAAGCGAACGGTTAATCAAATAAACCGAAGTAAAAAGTAAATTTATATTTCTTGAGGCGAACGGCCATACAAATTATAATTTTTCTTGTACATGAGTCAAATTCACTACCAAGCACGTACATTTTTCTCATAACATAGTCATTTTTCTCTTTAAAAGATGCTAAGCACGTCCATAACAGTCAAGGGATGGATCCATTCATGCATATATAGTTATGAACTATTTGTGTAAAATAGTATGTGTTTTGAGTCATAAATTTGTAAATTATTATCACGTCATTTTTAAATTCGTGTCAACTTTGATTATTATGGTACATACCGAAATCAGACCGATATAATTTGGTATATACCAAAACCGAACCGCATTTTAATTCATACCATATTTACCAAAGTATTAATACCGTACAAACCAAAACCGTATAAACCAAACCATGTAAACCGAATAAACCGAACGCACAGAATGAGATGTGGAGCCCCTTCAAAACTCTAAGGACACATATTGGCAAAAGCTCAAGGCGTTAATGGATGCAGCCTCGGTAGTTGAAGGTCGAAACGATCCTTAGCCGCCATCCAGAACTGCTTTGCATGCGAGCATGAAATCAACGCATGCATTAAGTCTTCGTCCATTGCCTGACAAATGTCACAGCGTCCAAGTGGTTTGATATGTCGATGCTTCAGGGTCAAGGAGTCTGGCAAGATACCGCAGAGAACTCTCCACCAGAAAACCCTAACTTTCGGCATCACATGTATTGTCCAAAGTGCTGACCACAACTGTTTGTTAGATCATGAAGTATCTGTAGTCGTCCCTTCCTCTAGAGAGCTAAGCTCGTTGCGAGTCATTAGAGAGCGATACGCTGATTTTACAGTGTAGTTGCCTGACTTCTCCAGTGCCCACGCCAAAGTGTCTTACCTTCCTGATCTATTCAAAGGTATATTCAGAATTGCCTCAGCATCCGGATGGAGAAAGTTTTGGCGGACAAGATCAACATTCCAGTTTCCAGTATAATCATCAATCAACCCCGATACGTATGCGAGAGGGGCAACCCCTAGTCGGTCGACTCGTTTCATAGTGACAGTATTGGGGATCCAAGGGTCGTTCCAGATAGAAATAGAGGAGCCATCACCTACCCGATGGATCAGCCCAGCCTCCAAAGCTTTTCTTCCCGCAATGATCGCTCTCCAGGTCGAAGAAGCAGTCTTAGACTAGTCACAATGGGGAGTAACTTAGACTAGTAACATCACATTTTACTAGGCTATGTTACTACCTCCACATTGGGTAATAACATATGTGTGTTGTCATGTTATGGTTCATTTATTAGCCTATAGACTCATATTGTCTTGGTATGTGTGATGTTACAGTAACTAACTAAGTTACCACCATCACCTCTCTCATCATTAAACATGTGTCACATAAGCAAAATTATCTTGAAAAGTGTGATGTTACTAGTGATGTTACTCCCACTGTGGCCAGCCTTAGGGATCGAGGCTTGGAGAAAGCTTGTGTGAGGGAAATATTTACCTTTCAACACCCTTGCACATAGTGAATCTGGGCTCGTCAGGAGTCGCCCAGCCTTGCTTGCCAAGCATTGCAAGATTGAAAACTTGAGGATCTCGAAAACCCAAACCACCCTTGATTTTTGGTTGTATCAATTTATCCCATGCTAGCCACTGTAGGGATCTCTTGTCCAAAGAGCTTCCCCACCAGTACTTTGTCATTGGCGAGGTGGTAGTCTTGCATGCTTTCTTTGTCAGCTGAAAACAACTCATACTATAGGTTGGGATTGCCTGAGCAATAGATTTTAGAAGAACCTCCCTACCTGCACAAGCAAGGTTTCGTTTTGACCAACCACAAATCTTATTGCGTATACATTCACTCATATGACTGAATGTACCGCTTGTGATTCGTCCAATAGCCGTGGGCAGTCCCAAGTAGCATTCAGAGAACGCCTCAACTGAAATACCGAGAGATTGTCTGAGATTCTCTCTAAGGGGCTGCTCTGCATTGCCACTTAAGAAGATGGATCTCTTGTCACGGTTCACTGTTTGACCCGAACAAGTAGCATATATATGAAGTATCTCATTGAGCCATTCTACACTTTGGGTGTTAGCTTTGAGGAAAATGAGACTGTCGTCAGCAAATAAGAGATGACTAACCCATGGTGCTTGAAAACTCACACGAATCCCCCGATCAATACGCGCACCACCAAAATTATTGAGCATTGAGGTAAGTCCTTGGGCACATATTAGGAAGAGATATGGAGAAACTGGGCAGCCTTGTCGCAGCCCTCTGGATGGACTGAAATACGGCAGCAGCTCTATAAGGGCATATTTATCCCTAAGGTGTTTTGGTGATTGATGACAATGCGTTTGCGGACTAATCGTGTGCCTTGAGTATCCCAGACGTTTCATCGCTAGGCACAAAACGGTTTGGTGCCCCTCGAAGACTGTTGAAGACGGCGTCTTTTCTATGTTTCTTTTTGGTGGATTTGAGTCGTAGGAAAGCCGTACTATTAAGAGGGGGTCCGCGTCGGAAAGGTTTGGGTGGAATCATCACATACACATTTTCTTCCTTGTCCCCTCCTTTCCCCTGCACT